ACCTTTTCCTCGTTGAATGCATGCAACCGAAAGCGCCGATATTTTTATGCTGCGGCCATCCGCTTAAGCGGCTCTACGCAACACGGCAAAAACCCCCCTCAGCCCCCTGAAGCCACGTGCAGAAGTAACACATGCAAAAGCATGAACTAGAAGGTACCCTTACACGCATTGTTGTATCTAACAACAACTGTTCCTTACAACAGCTGTTCGCTGCAACAGCTGTTTATTACAACAACTGTAGCAGCCGTTTGTTGTAGCAGCTGTTTCCTACAACTACAGTTTATGATTGTAGCATGAGTTAGCGCAGAGTTAGCTCAGGAGCCTTTCGACGGTTTTGGCATGCTGAGTGTAAGCGGTTGCAACCGTTCGACAAGTTCGTTCAGAGGCAAAGCATGCAGCAAAGGAAGCTTCCCTGAAGCTTCCTTTCGCGCACACGTGGGGTTGGTTTGCACTGCCAGCCGCAGCGGGGTGCGCTGCAACCCCATTTCTGGCTGCCTGCAGACGCCCAGGCCCTGAGCTCAACGCCCAGGATGCCTAGGGACCGGGGAAGGAGGTCAGCTGCTTTGGAAAAGTCTTGCTTTAAGTCTTTGCCTTCATTGCGGCTCGTCTCTGCTCAGATAAAGGCCAGAGAACAAGCGTTACACTGATAGCACCAGTTTGCTAAACCAGCTGCTTATTCCAACAACAGTGCGTTAGATCAACTGTTTTTTACAGCAGTTTCTTGTTGTAAAAGCTGCTTTTTCGTATATAAATAATACGTATGAGAGAGAGGGGAGTTAGCCTGCCAATTCGGAACAGAAAAGAAAAGAGCTGAATGCAAAAATGGACGCAAGAGTGTCGAATCAGATATTCTAATGAGGAAAGCAGCGAAACATGCATGCACACATGCAGGCAAGTATACGCAGTGTTTTTCTTTGCATGCATATATATTGTGACGATAGTGATCCGTCGGAGTCGCTGTGATCTGCAAGAGTTGAAATCCTTAGGTTAAGGCGGTCCAGAAAGCAGTTGCGCTCTTCTGCAGTCGCCCGACAGCCTGGGACCGGGGGCCCAACGGCGTCGGGGCGGGAAAGTTGTGGTGGCTTGGTATAAGTTTCGGCGCACCCTGGTGCGACNGGGGCCCAACGGCGTCGGGGCGGGAAAGTTGTGGTGGCTTGGTATAAGTTTCGGCGCACCCTGGTGCGACCCGTGCTACAACGCAACTCCGCATTCACGCACAGGCAAGCCATATGTCTACAAGCACTAATACTATAGACGGCTGTTGAGGACTTGTCTGGCCCTCTGGCCAGCCTGCACGCAAGTAGAAATACACAGAACAACTTCACGCAAATAATGCTACCTCTTCCCTTCCTCCATCAGATAGCACACGTCCTCGTAAACCCCGTCGACAGTAACGGAAAAAGAAAGAAACACGAGAAAGGAGTGGAGTAAGCAGCACCCAGGGATGCTGCTGTGCGCGCGATGAGCGTCTCAGTGGCGCGGCTGCTGCTCATATGCGGCGCTCCAGGGCAAAAAACCTGGGTTAAGAGCCATTTGTTTTGGAGTGGGCATCCAGACAAACGTAGATGCTGAGCTACCGCCAGTGCTCAGCCTCAGCAGCCGTATCCGCAGGGAGTTTAGCTAGTGAGATGCTCACGGCACGGCATGCGGGTTGGCAGCAGCATCACTACGGCACAACAGCACCGCTCGATTCTGCTTTCTCCTTTCTGTTCTCACTTTGTTCCTTCATTAGCCTCGTCGGAGCCCGCAAGATCATGTGCTGTCTGTGGGAGCGGGGCGGGGAGAGGGGGAAGGGCGAGACGGGGCGCTGTCTGCCCCAGCCCCTTGCTTGTCGTTCGTCTGCTTTCCTCATGCATTCCCAAGTTGCCGCAAGCCGTCTGTAGAAGCCAGCAACTGCGGGCGTGTGGGGCTGGCTTCTAGCCGCCAGATCTAAAGTCGGGTCAGGCATCGTCCTTCAGTGCAGACCAGGAATGACGGATAGCAACGGTTCGAAGAGTGCACTGTTGTACCATAAATCCATTCCATACAGCGGGAGAAAGTCAAATCATGCTAATGAATTATGCTGTCTCTAGAGTCGTAAACTCTGGACTAGCGTGCTCTTGGTGCGTTCAGTTTGGTCGTCTCTTTCCGGATGCTTCGCGGTGGTCGTGCTAAGGTCTGTGTTTAGTTGCCTCATGAATGATCGCCAGAAGGCGCCAACGATTTTCGGGGCCCTGTCAGCAATGATGCGCTTTGGAAAACTTTGGAACCCCCAGATAGGATTAGTGAATACGTCTGGCAGTCCCTCTGTTACAACGGGGCTTGATCACCGAATGAATTTGGCGTATGTGCTGAGCCTGTCCGCGAGAATGCAGATACTATGGTATCCTCTTGCCGACGGTAAACCCGCTATAAAAATCCACTGGGATATGCTGGAGTCGTGGTATGAGTGTATATCACAGTTTTATGGCTTAGGGTTCACGGTTTCTTCAAAAACGTCCCGGTGAAGGTAAATGATGAATGTACTGCGAAACCCTGCAATCGATCAAGAATCTTGTCGACCTGGACAATCGGAAACCTTCTCCAGTGGAGTTTTAGTAGTGGAGTTTTAGTACAATCACGCCAATGCCGACCTGGCAGTACTGCCGTGCTCATTATCCCGGCATGAGTTTTGTTCAAGCATACAGAAGGATTTAGGCGCTGGCCTCCGCTTGTTGAGCAACTACTCAATAAGTGCCTTAGAGATTGAATACCAAAAAAGAGGTGTACTGTTTCGACTGCATGTGAGGCTGACTTGGTACTTTGTGCAAAAGTCTTTTACATCTCATGCCCAACCGTTTCCACTCCCGCTGTAGTGCATTGGCACTACAATGCACCGCTGTAGACATCTAGTGGATAAAATGAGACTAAAATTTGTAAGAATTAATTTAATTTAATTAACAAAATTTAAAGTTTAGTAAACCAAATTGTAGAGTCAAGGTAGTTAGCTGAGGATAGCCGACACCCTCGCTAGAGGCATAATCACCGCGGTAACGCGGGCGGGCCGTAACGTGGCGGCCCACGCCCGTACCCCCACGGCTCTAGGAACCGGCCCGGCGGATCGCCAAGCTTGGGTCGAACGGATTGGCTCCGAAATCCGTCTCGGAGAACTATTTTGCTCTAATATTTGTCCACGAAACTACTCGTATTACTAATAGAAACGGTTAGCTCCGCAGATCCTGTTCGTAATAGTTACTTACAACTGCACTCTAGCGGGTTCTGCGCGAGGGATTTAGATGCAGCCAGGCATTACACCCGCAGGCCCTTACGTCTTTGTGCCAGGGAGAGGGGGCAACCGGCGAATACAGTTGTTAAAATGAGAGAGCAACAGGAATCTATTTTTAAGCATTGTTAGTTTTGTGTTGGGGGCTTAAGTAGACGGGTAGCTCGAATTTTCTGTAGCTCAGCAAAACTATTGGAGGCTGGCAGGCATGTTATGAACACCAACCCGACATAGCCGGCACTGGGGAGTTAGGAAAGTGCCCCACTCGGGATTATCATCGGAACTGACTACTATTCAGTCGGTATTTAATGAAACGTTGTCTCTATACAATTTGTTTTTCTCTATTAACCTGTTTTAAAACGATGCGTGGAGAAGAGAAGGATTGAGGGGTCGCTCATCACCAGCTTCATTTGCCCGCAGTTCCTCTCTTCTCTTCCTAGAGTTACCAAAGGGGAGATTCTCGCAGCGGAGGTCTGCCCTCCACTTTGCCACCCACGAAATGCCTANCTAGAGTTACCAAAGGGGAGATTCTCGCAGCGGAGGTCTGCCCTCCACTTTGCCACCCACGAAATGCCTAAGATTAGGTCGTGGTATGTGAGTCCAACGAAAAAATACCGTAGAATGGTAATGTCCCGCACTCAGGACTTAAGCTCACATTTCACGGACATAATTTTGCCGATTTTAGTGTGTTGCAGATTTTTTGCGAAACGTAGTCTCAGAGATTGCGCCAAAGCGGAGACCGTTAGGTTGCAATTCCTTGCCATGGCCTCTGATATCATATCCAGTTCGTTCCCCGTACCGAGGAAAGATTGCAACCCCCTACAATTAGTATAAACTTGTATAAGCACACAGTTGACTCGACTTAGATCTGCGGGTGCCGCTGTAATATCTTTCTGATCATCCACAGAACGTGTGGCGCGGTGCGCCATCACTGTTCAGCGCATTACGTGTGGGACTCGGGGTTTTCGCTGACCGTTCCTTTTGCTCCCCCGGTGGCGCTGCTCGGAGGAACTCGCTTCTCTGGTTCCTGGCTTTTTCCCATGCATCTCAAGTCTCGAAGTATGTGAGAACCTTTACTGCAGAAGAAGCAGATGCACCGCACCCTCCGTACTTCTAGCTCTCTGGGAGTTGCATTCGCCGGCTGCTGTCGGTTACTGTTCCTAACCCCCAGCTGGGCAGGTCTCGGTTTGACGGACCGAATATCCTCAGGCTCTAAACTTTGTTCGTTTCCATACCCCTTTTCTTCCTTTTCAGCTAGGAGTATAGACGCGGCGTTTCTTCTCAGCCAGCTCGACCCCTTGGCCCCTCATTTCTTTGTCCGTGTCCTAGCCAGTAATCGATCACCTCCCTCCCAGGGACATCCCTGCTATGTACCAATTATAAAGCAGGTCGAATCTACCGGTGGATTCCAGGCAACCAAGGATTGATACTTCTCGATGTAGCGCTCTATCTACAGCTTTCGGTGCTTAACTTTTCTCACTTATGCTTTAGTCAGGTCCCTTGTCTGCTAATAAACCCACCTGCTCATCACACTGCGCCTCGTAAGGCTCGCATGAATCTGATTTGCCCCGGGAAAGCCGAGCCTTTGATTAGATGTAGCCACGATCTCCGTGCGTCCCCTTCTAATAGTGAGGATTCCAGTAGCAATTGCAGTTCTTCTGGTGCATTTTGAAGGTGAAGGTGTTGGTCGAGGGGGCCAAGGGACTCCTAAACTGCTTGAGCATTGCAACGCCCACCTAATTTTCATGTTTATTGATGAAAATATACTGGCCGAGACGGAGACAGATGCACGTATAAGGAAACAGAAACAGGGACAGATTTAGTATAAGGAGACAAACAAGATAGAGACATACACAGATTCAGAATAAGAAAACAAAGAAGCAGACCGTTCATCTCTACCATGAACGACGGGGATAGAGACGGAGAGGGATTCTGTCCAGGGTGACAGACACAGATTCAGTACAGGGAGACGGAGACAGAGAAAGATTCTGCTGAAGGCAACAGAGAAAGAGCCAGGTTCCATCTAAGGAGACAGGGACAGAGAGATATTGTGTCTCATGTGCACTGCAACTTTGGTTACTGCAACTCTAGATGCACACATAAGTCCTACCACTCGCTCTTTCGTTGAATTAACTGCCGCTGTAGAGAATTGTTGTAGCATACATGCACTCCTGCTGCCACTAGTTAATGTGAAATATTTTTTTGCATTATTCCACACACCTGCAGGAGGAGAAGTAGGCAAGACTGATTCAGGTATATGGCACCACAGTATCTGTGTTTGGCTACAGAGACCCTGCAACATGAACCCGCTGCAATTGCGACTGCTAGCAACACAAGGTCTTTCTAAACATCTGCCTTGGCGCGCCTCCTTTTTCTGTATCTGTTTGCGTGCGCATGCGCTGATAAGGGTTTAGGGCACCGGATGTAGGGTTTAGGGTTTACGTCGGGTTGTAGATTAACTCCGCTGGTTGGCGTTGGGGAGATACACGCATGAACCCGTGCACATTCATCTCAGGATGGCCTCTCCACTGTTCTGCATACTTAGGCATTTGCATGTAGTTGGAAATAGAGCTCATTTGACTTCTCTTAGGGTAACAGAACTGAAAGTAGAGCTGGATATTGATGCTGGTGGAGCAGCAGGGACAACTGCAGCCATAGCCACAGCAGCCGAAGAAACAGCAGTGGAAAAAGCACCAAAAGAAGCAGAAATGGCGACCGTAACAGAAGAACCTGCAGCAGCAGCAGGGCTAACTGCAGCAGCAAGAGAAGCAGCGGCAGCGGAGGCAGAAACAGCAGAAGAAGCAGCAGCAGTAGAAGAGGAAGCAGCAGCAATAGCAGCTGCAGCAGTATAGGATCTTAGTGTAGACTGGATTCGAAGCCTTCTCCCTCCCATTTGCGTTTTTGTTTTAATGCTGCAACGTCTCTGAGCTGAGATATCTCAGTGACCTTTTGGTTTCCGCCTTCTGGTGTTTGTTTCCTTCACTCTTGCCTTTAGAATCGCAGATCCAACCTGCTCTTTGTCCTAGACCACTAGACGATAAGGGCTATTATAATAATATATATATATTATATTAGGGTTGTTAGCACTGAGTTACTACTGTTTGTTAGTTTCTTCTGGGGTGCTTATACCTGTATCCTATCTTTGGACGAAAAAAATATAGCTGTGAACAGCTACCCACAGCTGCCTGTAGATCCATGCAGACCGTCCGTGCAGATATACCCGAGTACAAGCCGCTTTAGCGCAACAACCCCATCAAAAAGAACGAAGAGGGGAGCAACAACCCTACCAAAATAGACAAGAAGAGTCCGTTTTACTACAAC